GCTATCAATACCTGCTAATGCTGGAGAAAAACAAAATGGTAATTTACAGTGTATAAATACAAGTATCACATGTAAGTAACCTACACACCTGTTGTGACAGGTGGCACTCCTACACACCTGTAGTGACAGGTGGCACTCCTAAACACCTATAGTGACAGGCGACACTCCTAAACACCTGTAGTGACAGGTGACAGTCCTACATGCCTATAGCAGACAGGCGACACTAATCTCCTCTATTAGTTATATCACATCAAAGCAGTGTAGCAAGTATTTCATCAAGGTGTCATGTACACAACTCAGTCATGGGACATACTCCCATCATCATTCCTTACTTATCTATCATTCATGATTTCAGTCTTCTGTCAAATCAATTTATAACTATCAATGTGTCAGGTCACATATCTGTTTGCTTATCTATCCATCTTCACCTATCTCAAATTGTCTGTCAGTACCCACTTGTTGCCATCTATCCTTACTTATCATTTGTCTGTCTTATACTCTGGATATATTAGGAGCATGCTTTTACACCCAGGTAGCCTGTGGCTACACTTACAACCTAGGTGCTTGTGGCTACATTTACATCTATGTGGCTTGTGGCTATATTTTTTTTTTACAACCTGGCTACTTGTGGCTACATTTACATCCTGGCACCATGTGGCTACATTTACAACCTGGGTGCTCATGGCTACATTTATATCCAGGTAACTTGTGGCTACATTTACATCCAGGTAGCTTATAGCTACATTTACATCCAGGTAGCTTATGGCTATATTTACATTCAGGTAGCTTATGGCTACATTTACATCTGGGTGGCTTGTGGCTACAATTACATTCACTAGCTTGTGGTTACATTTACATCCAGGTGGCTTGTGGATACATTTACACCAAGGTAGCTGGTCACTACATTTACATCCAGGTAGCTTGTAGCCACATACATATTCTGAGTGGTTGTGCCTAGATTTACATCCAGGTAGCTTCTGACTACAATCCCAGCCAGGTCACTAGTTTACTACATTTACATGCAGGTGGCTTGTGGCTACAGTTACACAGTGGCTACATTTACATCATGAGTGCTTGTAACTACTTTTACATTATTGTAGCTTCTGGCTACATTCACATTCTGTAGCTTATATTTATACCCATGTAGCTTATGGCTATATTTACATCCTGGCAGCTTGCGACTACATTTACAACCTGAGTTCTTGTGGCTACATTTACATCGAGGTAGCTTGTGACTGCATTTGCATCCAGGTAGCTTCTGGCTACATTCACATCAAAGTAGCTTGTGGCTACATTTATATCCAGGAGTCTTGTGGTTGCATTTACATCCTGGTAGCATGTGGCTACATTTACATCTTAGTAGCTTGCAACTACTATACAAGGCTGGCAAGCATTGTAGCAGGTAGAGAAAGGGTTAAATTACAGGTTGCACAACTTACCAGAGCTAATCCTTCAGGAAGGTAACAGTAAGTCTTCTTCTCCTCTTTTCGCGTTCCCCGGCTGTAAACTCCGGTGGAAAGTTCTGGTTGTTTGTCCACTTCTGGACTGCAGTCCTGTTGTTCCAGAACCTGAGTGTTGTGTGTGCATCAGTTTGACAGATCTGGCCAATTTGTATGCAGACTGCTGGTTCCTTGCCTCTCAGGCAGATGCACTCCAACTTCAAAGAAAGCTCCCAGTTAGTCGACTCTTACGACATGCTTTTGGGTAGGCAGTGGGTCTATTCTTGTTTTCCCTATAATAGGGACCTGGAACCCAGTGTGGGGATAGGTAACAGTATGTAATATATGTGAGGTGTCACATAAATCCTAGCCATCGACTGTGTGGCAACTGCCTTGGCAAGCCGCTTGTATTCTGCAGCATTTGTGAAGACCATCACTTTTAGTTGTGCTAACACACAGGACAGCACCGAGTTAAGCCCATAACTTTTAGTTGTGCTAACACACAGGACAGCACCGAGTTAAGCCCATAACTTTTAGTTGTGCTAACACACAGGACAGCACCGAGTTAAGCCCATAACTTTTAGTTGTGCTAACACACAGGACAGCACCGAGTTAAGCCCATAACTTTTAGTTGTGCTATCACACAGGACAGCACTGAGTTAAGCCCATAACTTTTAGTTGTGCTAACACACAGGACAGCACCAAGTTAAGCCCATAACTTTTAGTTGTGCTAACACACAGGACAGCACTAAGTTAAGCCCATAACTTTTAGTTGTGCTAACACACAGGACAGCACCGAGTTAAGCCCATAACTTTTAGTTGTGCTAACACACAGGACAGCACCGAGTTAAGCCCATAACTTTTAGTTGTGCTAACACACAGGACAGCACCGAGTTAAGCCCATAACACTAGTGTGCTAACACACAGGACAGCACTGAGTTAAGCCCATCACACTGAGTTGTGCTAACACACAGGAGAGGACTGAATTGTGTCTGTCACTTTTACTGTGCTAAGACAAACACACATGACAGCACTGAACTGTGTCAGCCACTTTTACTATGCTAACATACACACAGCACCTTTGATATAGATACAGGTATGCAACCGCATATGAAATACCAGTCACAAATCTCTCTTACACTCTCTCACACACACACACGCACACACACACCAAACATTACTGTCGTCATTCACCATACATCTTTTACCCCTCTTTTCAACATACACAAAACCTGCCTCTCTCTCTCTCTCTTTTACAAGTACAACACAAAACCCACCTCTGTGTCACTGTCTCTCTCTTACACATACACAAAACCTACCTCTCTGTCTCTCTCTTACACATACACAAAACTTACTACCTCTCTGTCTCTCTCTTACACATAACAAACCTACCTTTCTGTCTCTGTCTTACACATACACAAAACCCACCTCTCTGTCTCTCTCTTACACATATACAAATCCACCTCTCTGTCACTGTCTGTCTCTTACACATACACAAAACCCACCTCTCTGTCTCTTTCTCTCTCTCTTACACATAACAAAACCCACCTGTCACCGTCTGTTTCTTACACATACACAAAACCAACTTCTCTGTCTCTTACACATACACAAAACCCACCTGTCACCGTCTGTTTCTTACACATACACAAAACCCACCTCTCTGTCTCTCTCTTTCACATACACAAAACCCACCTCTCTGTCTTACACATACACAAAACCCACCTTTCTGTCTCTCTCTTTTACATTTACAAAACCCACCTCTCTGTCTCTGTCTCACACACAAAATCCACCTCTCTGTCTCTGTCTCTCTCTTTCACATACACAAGACCCACCTCTCTGTCTCTTACATATACACAAAACCCACCCCTCTCTCTCTCTTACACACACACACAAAACCCATTTCTGTCTCTGTCTTACACATACACAAAACCCACCTTTCTGTCTCTGTCTCTCTCTTACACATACACAAATCCCACCTCTCTTACACATACACAAAATCCACTTCTTTGTCACTGTCTCCTTCTTACACATACACAAAACCCACCTTTTTGTCACTGTCTCCTTCTTACACTCTTACACATATACAAAACCCATGGCTCTCTCACTGTCTCTCTCTTACACTCTTACACATACACAAAACCCACCTCTGTGTCACTTGTCTCTTTCTTACACTTACACAAAATCCACCTTTCTGTCACAGTCTCTCTCTCTCTACACTCTTATACACAAAACCGACCTCTGTGTCACTGTCTCTCTCTTACACACAAACCCACCTCTGTGTCCCTATCTCTCTCTTACACGCTTAGCTTACACATGTACAAAAAGTGCCCTAAACTATACATTTGTTTACACCCAATAAAATGACTATAAGCAAATAGGTTTAAAAAAAAAAGGAAATCAGCGCTCGCTGGGATGTGTTGTAATATGATTTTACTTTCCATGAAATGTATGGGTACCCATTTTAGACTTGTTTGACCGGCATCAAGAGAAATGTGGGGTGTGTGTGTGCGTCGCAGCTTGAGGGAATTGAAACCCAGGACTATTGGGCAGAAGGCAGGTGTGCTAGCCACTGTGCTATCAAGGCTCTCAGTATGGCTACCCTTCAGTAAAAATATCATGTAGTGCACGTAACTTTTTTCTATCATGTAGATACTGACATACAAACCAGCACACGCACATGCATTTCTTCACATAGAATCTAATACCCATCCACACACAGTCTCTTAGCTGTACAGAATCTACATCACCCACTTACAACACATTTATCTGGATTCACACTGGAACAAGGGAGTTCGTGCACCCGTGCTAAGATCAGATGCAGCATCTATAAGGTGTCGATCAGTATTTCCCAGAACTGTTTGGCCTGCTACCCCCTTTCAGTGTGATGGGGGGGGGGGGGAAATCACCCATGTGCCCCCTATCCCACAAAATATCATCATCATCATGTGCCATTGTCTACATGAATGTTTTGTGTTGCTCAGTGTTACTCTAAGCCCTTATTTTGAACAACACATGCCTACCTCAAGTTAAAACCATTTTTCCCACAGAAACCACACACACAAAGAAAGAAAGAAAGAGGGCCTACTCACACAGACATCTGTAAACACAGCATCTGTATACCCAAGTGCAAATAATCTTCACACACAGCATCTCTCTACACACATGTACACACAGAAAGACCATCTCCACATGTAAACCAACACGCTCCACACACAGAGAATCTTCATTCATACAAACCATCTCTCCCCACACACACAGACCATCTTCCTACATAAGCAGCGACTCTCTTCACACACACACAAACCTACCTCAGTAGAAACAGACAACTATAGAACTATACGGTGGTGCAAAGAAATATTTGAAAGAATGTTGGTGTAGTAAAAAGGTTCATGAAAAAAGTGACAAAAATTATTGAATAAATGTCTGGAGGCTTGAAGAAATTCAAATCTGTCACGCGCGCACACACTAGCTTCTAAGGTTCACTTGGATGCAAGCATTCTGCAACCAACAGCTTGCACTTTGATTGGGATAATTCACACGCTTGTCTAAAATCCACGGATGCTATGTTCGGGACATCAAGGTTTCTAGTGATGTGGAGGAACCCAGGCCTGTCTGGGACAAGCCTGTGGTACTCGACGAGTGGTGGCCAAATAACGACGAGGTTGGAAATAATTTGTACCAGCCAATCACAATGTTGCTTAAGTCGAGGTCATCAAGCAAGATCTGGGCAACGCCCATGAAGACTTTCTTGTCCATGCGACCATAGTCTCCCCACACTGTCACCTGAAAGTTGGACAAGAGAAATGTTTAAACAACAGAAAACAATGCTGTGGTCACTGGTCACAGTTACACATGAATGATTCAACAATACTGTAGTCGCTGACCACACAGTTACACATGAATGATTCAACAATACTGTAGTCACTGACCACACAGTTACATATGGGTGATTCAACAATAACATAGTCACTGACCACACAGTTACATATGGGTGATTCAACAATAACACAGTCACTGACCACACAGTTACATATGGGTGATTCAACAATACCATAGTCGCTGACCACACAGTTACACATGAATGATTCAACAATACTGTAGTCACTGACCACACAGTTACACATGAATGATTCAGCAATACTGTAGTCACTGACCACATAGTTACACATGAATGATTCAACAATACTGTAGTCACTGACTACATAGTTACACATGAATGATTCAACAATACTGTAGTCACTGACCACACAGTTACACATGAATGATTCAACAATACTGTAGTCACTGAACACACAGTTACACATGAATGATTCAACAATACTGTAGTCACTGACCACACAGTTACATATGAATGATTCAACAATACTGTAGTCACTGACCACACAGTTACACATGAATGATTCAACAATACTGTAGTCACTGACCACACAGTTACACATGAATGATTCAACAATACTGTAGTCACTGACCACACAGTTACACATGAATGATTCAACAATACTGTAGTCACTGACCACACAGTTACACATGAATGATTCAACAATACTGTAGTCACTGACTACATAGTTACACATGAATGATTCAACAATACTGTAGTCACTGACCACACAGTTACACATGAATGATTCAACAATACTGTAGTCACTGACCACACAGTTACATATGGGTGATTCAACAATACCATAGTCACTGACCACACAGGTACACATGGGTGATTCAACAATACTGTAGTCACTGACCACACAGTTACACATGAATGATTCAACAATACTGTAGTCACTGACCACACAGGTACACATGGGTGATTCAACAATACTGTAGTCACTGACCACACAGTTACACATGAATGATTCAACAATACTGTAGTCACTGACCACACAGTTACACATGAATGATTCAACAATACTGTAGTCACTGACCACACAGTTACACATGAATGATTCAACAATACTGTAGTCACTGACCACACAATTACACATGAATGATTCAACAATACTGTAGTCACTGACCACACAGTTACATATGAATGATTCAACAATACTGTAGTCACTGACCACACAGTTACATATGGGTGATTCAACAATACCATAGTCACTGACCACACAGGTACACATGGGTGATTCAACAATGATGCAGTCACTGACCATACAGATACACATGGGTGATTCAACAATGATGCAGTCACTGACCATACAGTTACACATGGGTGATTCAACAATGATGCAGTCACTGACCATACAGTTACACATGGATGATTATATTATAATAAATTTTACCAAGCAGACACATAATATGTTAGGCAAGACAGACATGACATTTGTTGGACCATATGCAGCATTTGTTAAAACAGACATTACATTAGTTGGACCAGACAGATACTATATTTGTCAAATCAGAACAGATATTACATTAGCTGCACAGACACAATATTTGTTGGACCATGCATACAGCATTTGTTGGACCAGACAAACGTGATATTTGTAGACATAACAGCAAAATGATTTCTGTGTTTGTATGTTATATCTATAACTGTATTGTTTTTTGGGTATGTAATATATAACTGTGTTTGTATGTTGTCTCTGTAACTTTTGTGTGTTGTCTCTGAAGTGTGTGTGTTTGCATATTGTCTCTATGTCTGTAACTGTGGTTGTATCTATTGTTGTATCATTAACTGTGCTGTGTGCTGTCTTTGTATGAAGTCTGTGTTTGTGTGGTGTATGTACCTCTGTCAGTATGGTGTCCGTGTATCTATGTTATCCTTATGTGTCCTAACACCGTATTATTTTCTGTATCTGCATTTGTGTGTCACCTCTCTATTTGTATCTATCTGTGCACAGCCTTTGTATGTGTCTGAGCCTGTATGTATTGTCCTGTCTTTCTGTGTCTGTAACTGTCTCTCCCTCTCTCTCTGTCTCACTCTCTCTCTTATACAAACACACACACAGCTAGATGTGCACACTTAGCCACACACATTCACAGCAATACACACACAGAAAGAGATAGAAAGAGAGATACAGAGAGACAGAGCAGAATACCTGTAAAATGCGGTTGTGGTAGGGTTCACTAAAGAACAGCTGCTGTTGGTAGAGAGGGTCCAGAGTTCTTCTGGCAGTCGTTGTTTTCTGCTTCTCCACACAATGTTTGCCTTCAATCAGGTACACCTTGACATATGGGGCTGGTTAAACATTGTGAATAGTCTTACGTTAGAGGTCTCGTTATTCATTTTTAGGGATTAATTTAAATGGTCAGTTTTAATATAGGCTACATTGATTCTTTATATATGAGTGGTCTTTATATGAGGGATCAAAGTAACCACTGTATATCTGTATGTGAGAGATATAATTTAATGTTCTTTATATATATGTCTAAATAATCAGTTTCTGTTATTATTTAAGAGTGTTTTTTTTTTTTGGTGGTGGAGGGGGAACTGATTGATAGAAATTGAGTTCTAATTACACAATTTGTTGGCCCTCCTTGCAACAATGACTATATCGGCACAAGATGGGTGATGTGGTCAGCATTACGCTGGCTGCTTCTACTTCCTGGGACTGCACCCGGTACCCACTCAAGGCTGGGTCGACCTGGGAGCCAAGGTCATTTTTGAAAAAAGTCAGGCTCCTCCAGGGAGCAAACCCACGACCTTCTGATCCGCTGCGAGCATCTAGCCACTCAGCCACAATCTTTTGTAGGTTAACATTACAATAAGTGTCTAGAGAATGTCATCCACTGCTTGGTTAAGTTCAAATAATAATAATAATATTCTTTCATATTTAATATTGTTTACCAGATCAGAGTTAGGGGTAGAGTTAGAGCTACCCCTAACCTAAGCACTAAACCTAATTCTAACCCTAATCTCAAACAATATTAAATATTAATATTAATATGTGAATGAACACAAACAATGGATTGTCTCGCTTATGTTCGCCACAAACGACTATTGATTGCGTCCTCCTAGGGTTGCCGCTGAAAGGAGTGCCATGATGGAGAGCTAATTACACAATTTGTGTTTGTATTTGATGGAGATCTAATGCAAAAGTATGTGTTAATATGTGATGGAGATCTAATTAAACAATTTGTGTTTGTATTCAATGGAGATCTAATGCAACAATGTTTTTATATCTGATGGAGATCTCATGAAAGAGTTAATGTTTATATGTGATGAAGATCTAAGGAAACAGTTTCTGTTTTTATATATGATGGAGATCTCATGAAAGAGTTTATGTTTATATGTGATAAAGATCTAAGAAAACAGTTTGTGTTTTTATATATGATGGAGATCTCATGAAAGAGTTAATGTTTATTTGTGATGAAGATCTAAGGAAACAGTTTGTGTTTTTATATATGATGGAGATCTCATGAAAGAGTTAATGTTTATATGTGATGAAGATTAAGGAAAGAGTTTGTGGTTTTATATATGATGGAGATCTCATGAAAGAGTTTATGTTTATATGTGATGAAGATCTGAGGAAACAGTTTGTGTTTTTATATATGATGGAGATCTCATGAAAGAGTTAATGTTTATATGTGATGAAGATCTAAGGGAACAATTTGTGTTTTTATATATGATGGAGATCTCATGAAAGAGTTAATGTTTATATGTGATGAAGATCTAAGGAAACAGTTTGTGTTTTTATATATGATGGAGATCTCATGAAAGAGTTAATGTTTATATGTGATGAAGATCTGAGGAAACAGTTTGTGTTTTTATATATGATGGAGATCTCATGAAAGAGTTAATGTTTATATGTGATGAACATCTAAGGGAACAATTTGTGTTTTTATATATGATGGAGATCTCATGAAAGAGTTAATGTTTATATGTGATGAAGATCTAAGGAAACAGTTTGTGTTTTTATATATGATGGAGATCTCATGAAAGAGTTAATGTTTATATGTGATGAAGATCTAAGGAAACAGTTTGTGTTTATATAGGATAAATATCTAAGGAAACAATCTGTGTTTTAATGAGGGAAAGTCAATAAGTAAATCACAAATAGCTATGGGATGGCAGAAATATGTATCTGGTGGTTTCTGAAGGTGTCATTAGGTGACAGCAACATCAAACTTTATGACTCCTTTCATTAGGTTGCGCTAGGTGTAGCATGCACATTCACAACACAGAAACAAAATGGCAACTGTTCTTATGGAATGAACCCTCAAAGAACAATGCTGATGTGCGTGTGTTTTTTTTTTTGGGGGGGGGGGGGGGGGGGGGGTTGGCAAAAGGGCTGTCTGCAAAGGATACTCATATGGAAATGAAGTCCGATCTGGTCGTCCTGTTGAGATTGCAACAGATGCATCCATACAGCGGTGGAGGAGATTACTGAAGGTGACCGGCCAGTAACAGCTGACCCTGTAGCAGCCGCAAAAGGGTGCTCAAAAGGTTCAGCATACAACATAATGGTCCACTGAAAACCCAGCTTGGCAGGAGACATTTCACGAATGATGCAGAAGTAGAATGTGAAGTGAAAATGTGGTTTAGAAAAGAGAGCACGCAGTTCTTTGCAGCAGTTTTAGGAGGACTGATAAAACAGTGGGACAAGTGCATCAATGTTGGTGAAAATTATGTTAAAAAATAAAGGGACAGTCTATGTGTAAAAATAAAAGGTTTTATATTGGTTATCGTCTTTAGTTTTTCAAGCAACCATTTTGACTTAGCTATTGACTTTCCCTCCTATATGATGGAGATCTAAGAAAACAATTTTTTTTACATGTATTTTACCTGGCAAAACCCTGGCTCCAGGCTTCGACATTAAACCTCTGGCTCTGATAACCTCTACTTCTAGGTGACCCTTGCGGTCATAGAGGCCTAGCTGTATCTCCCCTAGACATGGTGCTCCAAGAACCTGCCTGCCCACCAGCTGTGAGGGGCCTAGTCCATCCACAAACTCCCCAAACTGTCCGTCGGGCCCCAGGCGCAGACTTGCTGGCAGCCACAGACTGCAGACAAAAGATTGACTTACATCAGTGTCCACAGACATAACACAGATATGTATCAGGTCTACAGACATAACAGACATACATCAGTGCCCATAAACTTAACATAGAGATGAATCAGTGCCCACGAATATAACAAAAACATGTATCAGTGCCCACAGACATAACACAGACATGCATCAGTGTCCACAGATATAACACAAACATGCATTAGTGCCCATAAACTTACCACAGACATAACACAGACATACACCAGTGTCCACAGACATAACACAGACATGCATCAGTGTCCACAGATATAACACAGACATGCATCAGTGTCCACAGACATAACACAGACCTGCATTAGTGTCCACAGACATGCATCAGTTCCAAGAGACATAACACAGACATGCATCAGTCCCACAGACAAAACACAGACATGCATTAGTCCCACAGACATAACACAGACATGCATCAGTCCCACAGATATAACACAGACATGCATCAGTGCCCACAGACATAACACAGACATACATCAGTCCTACAGACATAACACAGACATGCAATAATGTCCACAGACATGCATCAGTTCCCATAGACATAACACAGACATACATCGCTGCCCACAAATACAACACAGACATGCATTAGTCCCACAGACATAACACAGACATGCATCAGCCCCACAGACATAACACAGACATACATCAGCCCCACAGACATAACACAGACATGCATCAGTCCCCCAGACATAAGACAGACATGCATTAGTCCCACAGCCACAACACAGACATGCATTAGTCCCACAGACATAACAAAGACATGCATCAGCCCCACAGACATAACAGAGACATACATCAGTCCCACATACATAACAAAGACATGCATCAGTCCCACAGACATAACATAGACATGCATCAGTCCCACAGACATAACATAGACATGCATTAGTCCCACAGACATACCACAAACATGCATCAGTCCCACAGACATAACACAAACATGCATCAGTCCCACAGACATAACACAGACATGCCATCAGTCTCACAGACATGCATCAGTACCCACAGATATAACAGACATGAATCAGTGCCCACATACATGACATAGATATGCATCAGTGCCCACAGACATAACATAGACATGCATCAGTACCCACAGATATAACAGACATGAACCAGTGCCCACAGACATGCATCAGTTCCTACAGACATAACACAGACATGCATCAGTTCCCACAGATATAACACAGACATGCACCAGCGCCCACAGACATGTATCAGTGTCTAAATTTAGCATGATTAAGTAAATATACTATGTAACAATTTAAACAGGCAGAGGATATAAGATAAAAATAAATATGACTGAACCTGAAGTTATGCAAGTCAGTAGCATTCCTAGTCCTCTACTTATAGGGCTGATTGATACTTTACTGAAGTAAGTTAAACTTTTCACCCCATAAGAATATTAAAAAATGACCTTCTGTAAAATTTTGTTCACAAAATACATAATTATAATTTTGTATAACTCTACCTCAAGAAACTAGAAAAAGAAGCAGAAGAAATCTGGAGTCTTAGGCAGTTTTAATATTCAGAGAATTGAACCTCTAAACCTCCCCATGTGGATTCCGGGGCCCAATTGGGTGGGAGATAGACCCAATGTCCCCTAAAAAGCATTTCTTTGAAGTTGGAGTTATCTGCTCAAGAGGTGTGGCACCAACAGTCTGCTTACTAATAAGCCAGATCTGTAAAATGGATGTGCATGCAAAACTCAAGTTCTGGAGAAAAAAAAACTGAAGTCCAGGAGTGGATGAGCAACCAAAACTGTCTGCTGGTGTTTACAGCTGGTGAACAGAGCTGGTGTTTACAGCTGGTGAACAGAGCTGGTGTTTACAGCTGGTGAACAGAGCTGGTGTTTACAGCTGGTGAACAGAGCTGGTGTTTACAGCTGGTGAACAGAGCTGGTGTTTACAGCTGGTGAACAGAGCTGGTGTTTACAGCTGGTGAACAGAGCTGGTGTTTACAGCTGGTGAGCACAGCTGGTGTTTAGAGTTGGTGAACTCAAAGAAGAAGAAAAAGTACCCCTAGACCACTGAGCAGACAAACAGAAGTGAAGTCCTCTCCTTCTTTTTGTTGTTGATGACATAAATTTACTTAAAGATTTTACACAACTTTTATCCAGTCACTAAATGTTTACGTCTGGAAAAGGTTTATTTCTGTGGAAGGGAAACAGTCACTAAATGCAAACTGAATGAATTAATGCTTCTCCTTTAACCATCTAAAAGTGATTGTGGCAATTTTTCCACAAAGAGGTGCAATGTGACACAATTTTGAAGTTACAGAACATCACTGTGATGTCACAACTTTTGAAAACCAGCACCGAAGGACCACGGCCAGTAGACACCATGCCATTCAAGTATCCAGCAAGACTAGATATCAGCACTTACAGAGTGACAAGGTTAAATAAAAAATTGTAAATATCTAGGAAGTATTTATTCTTTAAGGATGAGAGAAAACATCAGGAATTAGAAACAGGCTGCCAAAAGGCTGATCTATTTTATACCGATACCATTGCTAAACTGGACATTATCAAAGGCTGTATAAAATTACCACTTGTGAGATGACATGTCTGATGAAAGCTGGTAACTTACCAAACCGAGACCAAATAAGTAATAATACTATACAAGAGACAAAACTGCTGATATAGACAACTTATTTCAGGCGAACAAAAGAAGAAGAAGACAGTCTATGGGAACACCTTGCACCAAATTCCTTGAGAAGCAGAAGATCACATAGCATGAACCAGTAGAGTGGACCGACAGTTCAGATGAATGAAACACAAACCAGTGGAATGAAACACAAACTGAACAGCCCAACATAAAACCATCACTCTACACGGATGAACTGGTTGAGGTAAAGACTGGACACATAAAGACTTGGCCTGAGTTACAGTAAGGATAATATACTGATATTAATAATGACCTGAATATCGTGTAATATGTGTTCACATCTGGACAAGGTAAGAATGACTTCAATGATTATGTACTCACACGCTGGAAGAGTCACTGCTGATACTGCCAATACTCCCATCTGTCGAGTCCTTGCTTGCCTGTTTGGACATCCCTCCTCTCAGATCAATGGGACCAATCTCTTCACTCCTCTGGAATGAGCTCATTTTTCTACCCCCACCTACCAAGTCAGAAAAGCTAGATAAAATAACTGTATCAAATAATACATGTAAGTGTATTTGGCTATTCTAAATCAAAATCAAATATCAAAGTACAGCAGAACCTCTGTACACATACTTGATCTGTTCCTGGTCCTTGGACATATACAGACCAGCACATATACGAAATGAATTTTTCCCAAAAGGAATAAAGGGAGAATGATTAATCTGTTCACATGGGGAAAACAGTCATTTTGTTATGGACACATAAAACAATCACAGGTTTAATAAAATAATTTATATACTGCCTACTACTAAAATACATAAATGTAAAAGCAGTTAGAGGAAATGTATGAAAATTTAAACTTTATATCTTCCTGAGAGGAGAGGAGAAGGACCTACTAGGATGGTACTGAGAAGGGAAGAGAAGAAGGAGGAGGTACTATTGTGAGGAAGAAGAGTTCACCTCTAATAAAACTTCAGGAATCTGGAATTTCTGTTTTTTTTTTTTTTTTCCCTCTTTCTTTCTTTCTTTCTTTCTTTCTTTCTTTCTTTCTTTCTTTCTTTCTTTCTTTCTTTCTTTCTTTCTTTCTTTCTTTCTTTCTTTCTTTCTTTCTTTCTTTCTTTCTTTCTTTCTTTCTTTCTTTCTTTCTTTCTTTCTTTCTTTCTTTCTTTCTTTCTTTTTCTGTCTTTTTTGCTTTGGACTTGGTTGATACATCTCGAAATATGATACTGTCTGGTCATTTCAGACAATGCTATTATGCTCTGTTTGGGCTTTGTTGGGTAAATACTTCTCTGCAAAGCCATTGACATCTATCAAAGTCTTAGTCTCAAGAGAGGTAAATAAAGATAGTGTGCAGTGTTGTGACTACTTTTGACCCATACAAGTTCATATCCCCCCCCCCCCCCCCAAAGGTCACATACCAAACAAAAGGTTTTGGGTCTAAACAGGAGTTTTACCAAAGCAAATGTATACTGAGGTACCACTGTATTTGGTTTCTCCAGAATCAACTAATCACTGCTCTGTTTTACTTGGTTAGTTATGAACCCTCAGATAACCTGAGCTGTAAACCCTTAGATGAAGAACTGATGTTCAAATTCCTCTGAGACTTGAAAAGAACTTGCATGTATCAGAGTGGTGCTGATGTAGTGACTTTTCTTCTGATGAAACCATACTACCATCCTCACTCTCACACATTCAGGGCTTTTCATAGTTCCAACAATGCACCAGACTTCTTCTTCAGCATTCCAAACCCCAGAGGTTCACTGTTGCAAATATAATTCACTTCTATTCTTTGGTGTATGATTTTTTGTTTCTCTGTAAAGGCCATTCTCTTTTTATGTTACAACCACTGCAGTCTATCAGCCCTCATGCTGCCAGTTATTAGTCTTGATTAAAATAGATAATTAATTTCATCGGTGCTTCTCACTCTATTCTTTGCTGTTTGCAGCCCTAATTGGTCCAAAAATTTGTCATAAGATCTGTTCTCCAGTCTTTTAGTTGTACTCCAGCTTTCAGAGCCATATAGGAGATCTGGTTACAAGTCAGCATTCATTTTAGCAGATGTTACATGGACAGTATACTATAATTCTAGATTGAATAGCGACCCTGAACTCCTAAAAACTGCCAGTCTTCTAGAGAATTTACAACCAACCAGCCTTCAATCTGTGTGGGGCTTACTAAGGACTGCTTAGCTTCTTCTGCTCTTTATTCTCCAATGGAGCATAGGCCCTCAACCAACTCACATACTCTGGCCTATCCTTGTTTGTGACATGCAGCTCACCCCACATCATCCTTATCTTTCTTCACCTCATTCTCTAAACCTTTTTTAGACATAGGCCAGGAACATATACATACACATCAGGAACGAGCAGACATATCTACTAACCCACTTGATGTAGCTGGAACAGAAACACACAGACTAAGAACAGATACATCTACTAACCCACCTGATGTAGCTGGAACAGAAACACACAGACTAAGAACAGATACATCTACTAACCCACCTGATTTAGCTGGAACAGAAATACAGACACAGGCCAAGAACATATATATACAAACCAGGAACGAGTAGACACATCTACTGACCCACTAGCTGTAGCTGGAACAGAAATACACATACCAGGAATGAAGGACACATCTACTGACCCACTAGCTGCAGCTGGAACACAAACACAGACACAGGCCAGGAACATATACACTTATACCAGGACCAATTAGACACATCTACTGAGCCACCAGCTGAAGCTGGAAAAAGAAACACATACCCCAGGAACAGACACATCTACTGATCCACCAGCTGCAGCTGGAACAGAAACAGAGGCCAGGAACATTACAGACAGGCCAGGAACAGGTAAAGACATCTACTGACCCGCTAGCTGTGTGGCACTGCTGCTCCTCCTGTTCAACCCCACTAGTGCTGCCATCTTGTGTCCGATACTTGGTCGTCGCTTTCTGCCCTCAGTAACACTTGTTGTCACGGCAGAGTCAGACACACTTCCATCATTTTCTTGGCTTTCATTGCTGGAAGTTCGAACGGCCTGAACTCGACGCTGAGGTATTGTTGTTCTGCTCTCCATCTTTGAGGCGAATTCACTGAAATGTGTACAATAATGATGATTTCCATGACAGAAATGCACAAGTTCAGTAAGTTCTTTTTCTTCTTCCACCATTTACCTCAGCGAGGTGTTGGGGGGAGATGTAAGGATCGTTTCTGCACTTTTTCCAATGCATTGTACAAGTTGGTGTTCATTTCTGTTAGGCTGCTCTTGATGATGTCACTCCAAATCTTGTGTTGTCTTCCCCTTGCTCTGTGTTCATTATATTTCTTCAGCAAGGCTTTCTGAGGCAGTTGGTACCAGGGCATTCTTGTCCGGTGGCCAAACCATCTCATTTGTTGTTCTTTAATGAATTTACAAGTGGTAAACTCCAGTGGAAAATTCTGGTTGTTCATCCATTTCTGGACTTTAGTCTTGCTTCAGAACCTGAGTTTTGCATGCACATCTATTTTACAGATCCTGTTTTTGTTTAAACACAGACTTCAGGTCCTCGCCTCTCAGGCAGATGCAGTCTGACTTCAAAGAAAACATCCCTAATTAGTTGACTCTTATGACATACTTGTTAGAGGGGCAGAAGATCCCCCCCCCCCTCTCCATAATGGAGCCCCAGAATCTGTAAGAGGAGTTTAGTCAGTAGATTAAAGCAGGCATCTAGCCTAGTTAGGACCCACTAGTGTTAGGAAAAGCAACTAAGACCAGGGGTGATGTTCTCCCTCTCCATACCACAAACCTGGGCAGTATTGTATAGACTATGGGTTGCCCACGCAATATGATCCGTCCCTTGGCCTGCCTTTACTCCAAAGAAAAGGCAAAACCAACAGCCAAATCTTTCAATCGACTGTGTGTTCCCGGGGCCCTTATGGGAAACAAGGAATTGTTAAAATGTTACCCTACCAGACAAGTTGTAAGAGGCAACTAAGGGTAGCTTGAGATTGGCCATCTCATTCCATGAAAAACAACAACCACAAAAACAAACCAACCATAGACAAGTTTAAATAAGTAACCATTAATACCTTGCCAACCAATAGCTCTTCTACCAATGAAGTTAAAAAAAGATTAGAGAGGGCATAAAATTAGCCTGAGCTGAATGCGATAACAAAAGAACAGATGACATGGGGTGATCTGGCTGAGGGCCTATTCTCCACAGGGAGGAAGGGGGGGGGGGGGGAGGACAGAGGCTTTCAAAATATCTCACATTTTTCAACATAATTTAGAATTTTAAAACAAACATTACAAGCAAATCTCTGGCCAATGATATTCACAAACTGGCATACCTGAGTTTTCTACGTGGCCGCTCAGACTGGGTTGACCTGACACTGATTGTGCTGACCTTGCTGACCTCTGACATATCACTGGTTTCAGAGACATCACTAGCGACATCATCTGACATATCGGGACTAAACTCTGCAATTGTGACACCAAGAAAAGTTCACAGAAATTTATAAAACAGAAACGTAGAATAAGTAAATAAATAATTGACACTATGTTAAAAATGATCTAAGTGCAATTTTAGCAATTTTTACCAAAGTTCAGTTTTGGCAATTTTTTTTTTTACCTTAGCGAAATTTCAGGGCTGTTATTTGTCATTTTGCAACATACCAAAGGCATACATGTGAATTACTACTGCAAATAGCTTAAAAAAAAATTATTATATCGCTTGAAACCACATAAATGTCATTTGATTTTGCAGAGAGACTTCAGTAATCAAATGCAATTTTCTGTAAACAACAACCGAAGACTTAGGTGACTTTGGCATATTGCTACCAATATGGGACAAAAGCTACATGTAACAGCACATGACAGTGTTGTGCATTTTAAGTACCTCTGTCCCAAACAACACATCCTGTGTGCTATTTTGATTCATAACATGCTCTGACTTATTTAGTCTGAGAACACTTTACAAATCTGGCTAGATTTTTTAACATAAAATACAGTAACTATAAAGTGGCTAAGACACTTGCCTGTTGGCATGGTGATTATATTTTAAGTACTACTGGTGCCTTTTTAATGCATTTGATATCAAGCAGCTCACCATGTGCTAAACCGGCTGTGCTTAATTCGCAAACTGTTTTAAACCCTTTCTTCCCCATCAACACTCTGAGTCTTTGGGGTTAACTGCTGCAAATATCACCTCCTCCTTTTATCTCTGTCATTCTCATTCTTGTTAATGACTCCAAGCATTTGTAGGTCTGCCTTTATATTATCTCTCCACCATATTCATAGTCCGCCTTTTATTTTACTTCCATTTCAATTCTTTTGTGTATATGGTTTTTGTTTCTCTGTACTCTTTTCCTCTCTGGCCTAATCTAATCTAATCCTTCTTTCTCATGGTATTATTGTTTTAACTCTTTAAGGCCCAAATATTTTTTATTTACAGTAACAACTTCTAAAAATATAATGATTTAAAATAGCATCCACCAATTACTGAAACGTTAAATTATTTATACAACTGGCTGGAGCTGAAGATGTTAGAGTGATTAAGACCAAGAAATTATTTACATAATGATTCACTGTGACAGATGAGTTGAGTTGATTCAAGAACCGACATCACAGCACTAGGGGCATTCCCATAAGCGCTCCGTCCCTATCTTCAGCGAAGAGTTCAGAGACTAATGGTACCAGTAGCATTCTGATCTAACGTCTGTCTTGCCTTTCCTCTGAGCCTCGAGCATCTGCCAGAACATAACGTCACTCCTCTCTGCATCAATCTCACCAGACTGTGGTGATCCAACTGCTTCCCCGAACCGTACACGCTCTCCCACAAGGCACTAACCATGTCTGTCTTAACATGTATCAGTATTCCACTAAGTTGTGCAAAGCCATGTGACAGACGGAATATTCATAACACAGAAGGTTTTGTAAAAAATTTTTTAATGTGACATTGATAGTTTTCAGTTCTATAAATTTAGTATCTTATCTCTTGTTAAACTGACAGTTTAGTCCTAAACATTTGCATCTTATCTCTTGTTAAACTGAAAGTCTTTAGTTCTATATATTTAGTATCTTATCTCTTGTTAAACTGATAGTCTTCAGTTCTATACATTCAGTATCTTATCTCTTATTAAACTGACAGTTTAGTCCTAAACATTTAGCATGTTATCTCTTGTTAAACTGATAGTCTTTAGTTCTATACATTTAGTATCTTATCTTTTGTTAAACTGACAGTTCAGTCCTAAACATTTAGTATTGTATCTCATCACAGGGTTAGTTGAATCCTAAACAATTAGTATCTTATCTCTTGTTAAACTGATAGTTCAGTCTAAACATCTGGTTAAATGGATACTTATCCTAAACATTTAATATATTATCTTTTGTTAACTGATAGTTCAGTCCTAAACATTCCCTTGTTAAGTGTTAGTTCAATTCTAAATATTAGTATCTGATCTCTTGTTAAACTGATATCCTTGAGTTTCTTACATCTATCATGTCTCAAAACTCGATCAAGTTTTGAACTAATTCTCACCTTTGTGCCTTCGTGACCTATGGTGGCTCCTCTCTATATCTCTTCCTCTTTCATAATTCTTCTCCATGGCTCGTTCTCTCATTCGCTCCACGCGATCATGAGATATGCTGCGATCATGGCCCCTGTCCATCATCTCTCCTCGGTGGTCACGCCTCATCAATCGTGACTCAATATCTGGGTGGGTCATGGCCATCCCTTGACCCTGTTGTGCAAGTTTCATCTTCATCTTCATAATTCGAGCCCTCTCCTCCAGGTCTTGGGTCACTGAAATTTAAAGAAGGACAATTCTAAGTAGCGACATACATTTAAAAAAAATTTGTTACATAATAATTCTTCATGTCTTTGATAGTTATTCCTTTAAATGTGTGAACTCCAAAATTTTTACTTCAAGGCAATAAACATTTTAGCTGAATGTAGTCAAAGTAACCTCTCTTAGAGATGTCTGAAAAAAAATATGACATGTATGGTTCTAACTGCTTTGGGTTGGGGATGCAGAGCTTGGCCAGCAGGCACAGCAGAATCAGAAATTCTGCTGATTCATGACAATTTCCACCTACACGGAGTTATTATCTTACTGATGGCTCTGTGCTGTAAGGTAGACAAGTTCATGGAGGATCACTGCTAAAGCAAATGGACGTGGCTTACTGAAACAAAACCAAGCATATGATAACACAAAATCTTGTTTGAGAATGGAGTTGGAGGCAGTCTAACAACTTTCTGCAGGTCAGAAAACCATCTGCACACCCATATAATTGTAACAGACATAGAAAGTATGCTGCAAAAGGTAAGGAAAGACAGGCTCCATGCAGAGTGGCAAGCATCACTTAGCATCTTTTGGAACTGTTTCTAGGACATGCATGTGTGTTGGGAAATGAACAAAAAGGCATTTTTTTCAGGTGGTACTGCAACAATGGGTAGGGAACTACTGCATCCCAAGCTAGATGTGGTCAAAACTCTTTGGAAACAAGTGAATGGTAACTGGTAGGCACTTTATGGGAACAAAAAACATCACGTTCAACCAGCCTTCCTAAAGGGGAAGCTTTAGGTAATAATTGTGACTAGGTATTGTGCACCATATAAAACGGCTTAGCACTGCATGCCAGCAAGAGCCCTGAAAAGGACTCCAGTGTTGTCGATGCGATCAAAGGAGACAGACCCAAAATAGTATCCTGACCGGCAACGATGATGAACATTAATGGGCCGATGAAGTGAACGGCAGTATGAACAGATCACTGGTGCAGCAATTCTGGGCCAAATGAGGAGGAGTGGCCAGTTTCCTGTCTCACAACTGTCTCTTTTCAGGCAATTCTGAGAATTTTCAGAAACTTGGTACCCATTTATGTGTGGCTAGTTTGACCCCAGAGCTGTACTGGTGGGAAAAAATAATATCCTGTCACTGCTAGAGATTAACCCAGATCATTGTTGTCAGAGGCCAGCATGGTAAGGATTGTCTTTAGTGAGAATTAGGAAGTATGGAAATTAAGGTGGCCTGAATGATACTGACCACATCACCTATTAAGTGCTGATTGGTCAATACAAATTTGATCCCAGTATCAAAAGCCTAAATAACCACTGGTGTAAAAATGGTCTTTTACCTTTTACACAAAGCATTAATAGATGTGTGGTTTTACAGAAAAATCCTTACAATTTATCTGACTGCTGAAAAGAACGACCAAGATATTCTGAAAGAGACAAGGGCTCAAAGACAACTATCACAAATATCAGAGTCATAATTTTGTCAACCCAGCCTTGAGTGGGCTACCAGGTGCAGTCCTAGGAAATAAAGGCAGCCTGTGTGATGCTGACCACATTACCCATGTTATATAAAACTATACGTCTAGCCCTGTACGCCTAAAGGCGTGGGGAAAAGACCTTTACTTTTTTAAAACATAATTTTGTAGCACATTTTGTACAGATGGAAATGGAACTTGCTGTGACCACTGGAAAGATTTGTAGAAAAGAGAGACAGGAAGACAACATGAGATGATTTATAGCTGAGCCTTTTATGATGGTATGGAGGGATGTCAACACAAAAACTGATACATTCTCTTGGAGATCGCAGATTATGGAGAGGCATGATTACCTATGCCAGTTGACAAGGCACTTGATGGTTATGATTATGAGGTCCAAAGGTTTAAGAAAAAAAAAATAGCGAACTACAACAATAAAATCAAATCCTATATAGGATGCGTGAAGAGATAAGAGCAACTTTAAGCTGATTCACCTCTATCTCTGCTGGCCCTTTGTGCTTCCAGAGGTATGGCAGGCAGCTGTCGCTTCTTCGGCGATGGTGTGCTTGTCGGAGAGCCTCCTACCGACCGAGATGATGCTGGAGGGAATGGTCGCTGCGGAGGTCCTGAGGCCATAAACCTAGAGAGAACAAGGTCACCTTGAAGAATAATTTTAATATAAAAAGTGGCATGAAAAATAAATGTTTATGCCTGAAATATATTCTTAGCATAGTGTTTACCAAAAATTTTTTTTAAAAAGCAAAGCAAGAAGGTTCTTGACAGCCTTTGTCATGGCATGGAAGGACATCATCAAATGAACTGACACCTACAGCTGGAGATTGCAGATTATGGAGAGGCCTGATCACCCACACCAGCTGGCAAGATGACAATGTTGACTATAATGTTGTGTATGTTGAGTAAACAGGAAAATTAATGTTTATGATAAATAAATCTGAAAGAAAACTTAAAAAACAACAATAAAATGTATCTAACAAACATGTTTGCATAAGAAGAATGAATCTTAAACAATAGTTTATATGTTGAGAATGAAACTGACTTCATATTTCAAGAAGAAAACATTAAAATGAATCTGCAACAAAAGTCTGTTTCAACCAAACATTTATCTGAAACAAAGGTTAAATAACGAAGAATGATTCTAAATAAGTACTCTAAATTATTTCCTTTTAAAAGTTTCAAAGGGACGGACTGGATTCTATTCATACTGAAGAGTTTCAAAGAGCCGGACTGGATTCTATTCATACTGAAGAGTTGCAAAGGTACGGACTGGATTCTATTCATACTGAAGAGTTGCAAAGGGACGGACTGGATTCTATTTATACTAAAGAGTTTCAAAGGGACGGACTGGATTCTATTCATACTGAAGAGTCTCAAAAAGCCAGACTGGATTCTTTCCATACTGAAGAGTTTCAAAGAGCCGGACTGGATTCTATTCATACTGAAGAGTTGCAAAGGTACGGGCTGGATTCTATTCATACTGAAGAGTTGCAAAGGGACGGACTGGATTCTATTCATACTGAAGAGTTTCAAAGGGACGGACTGGATTCTATTCATACTGAAGAGTTGCAAAGGGACGGACTGGATTCTATTCATACTGAAGAGTTTTAAAGGAACGGACTGGGTTCTATTCATACTGAAGAGTTTCAAAGGGACGGACTGGATTCTATTCATACTGAAGAGTTGCAAAGGGACGGACTGGATTCTATTCATACTGAAGAGTTTGAAAGGGACGGACTGGATTCTATTCATACTGAAGAGTTGCAAAGGGACGGACTGGATTCTATTCATACTGAAGAGTTGCAAAGGGACGGACTGGATTCTATTCATACTGAAGAGTTGCAAAGGGACGGACTGGATTCTATTCATACTGAAGAGTTTGAAAGGGACGGACTGGATTCTATTCATACTGAAGAGTTGCAAAGGGACGGACTGGATTTTATTCATACTGAAGAGTTGCAAAGGGACGGACTGGATTTTATTCATACTGAAGAGTTGCAAAGGGATGGACTGGATTCTATTCATATTGAAGAGTTGTAAAGGACGGAACAAAAAGGAGGACTAGACTATGGGAACTGTAACGGTAACAGCATGAAAGGATGATGATGATTCTGAAATAATAGTTAATTTATGAAAAATGAGTCAGATACAAAATAAGAATGAATCAGAAAGAAAAGTTAATTTACACACAAAAAATCTTCTTCTTCTTTTTCTGTATTTTTCTGTGGTTGTGGTTCACAGCTGGGCTGCAAGACCTGCAACTTTCGGCCCAACACATCAGATTTCAGCAAAACCCTAATTAGTTGCCTTTTATGACATGTTGGAGGCAGTGGGTTTATTCTAGTGTGTGTGTGTGTGCGCGAACTTTAACCTTTTTTCTTTGATTCCCTTATTCATGTTGGTAATATATAGGTGTATTCTAATTTTTTTATTCTGTACAATATGCAATTTTCCAGTCACATCATGAGAAGGGGAAAACTGGAGTATACCATGACACTGGAAAAGTTGTAGGGGAAGTTAAGGTAGAGGAAATAAAGAAATAAGGTTCTGAACTGTCTGGCGACAATAAATGAGTGCCTAGATCTGATGGCCATAACTCCATGTGGAAGACACTTTGATGACCCCGAAGAACTAAATGCATCTGCACTGCATTTGAGGCACTGACCTGCACATCAGAAAGATGTTGCCTGAACCTGGCAACTAGTTCCAGCCTTACTTTGCTGATGTATTTCATACTACATAATTACTAATCTTCTTCTTCTTTGCATTCACTGGCTTCACTCTAGTAGAAATTTCTGGTCATTCATCCACTTCTGGACTTGAGATTTGTTCCAGAACCTGAGTATTGCATGGACATCAGTTTAAGAGATCAAAATTACTTGTATGCAGGCTGTTGGTTCCTTGGTTCTTGGGCAGATGCACCCTGACTAAGAAGAAAACCCCCAATTAGTCAACTCTTACAACACACTTGTTAGGGAGGCAGTGAGTCTACTCTTGTTTTCCACACAACAAGGCCCCGAAACCCACACAGGGAATAATTATTAATATATGGTAAAGACTGAAAAAAAAAGCAGAAGGAGAAGAAGAACAAGAATCACTGCAAAAAGGAGTGACATTTTTTGTGTAAAGTTATGACAAATACCTCATGTCTGGTGGAGACAATGACCTTGACACATCCACCATTCCTCTCATGTGACCTGGCGATCTTGACCTAGACCTTGAACTTTTAGTAGAGCTTTCTCTAGCTGGTGACCTTGACCTCTGACTTCCAGATCCCTTCTCGGGCACTTCCAATTTGTCTGTGGCTGAGATATGGCGCTGATGTGACCCAACATCATCACGAGCAACAACTACAATGAGATTTTATTTAAAGTTACATTTTAGGGCTACAACCAGATTTAGTTATAGTTAATATCACAGCATTGCAAATATATTTGCTTAAAAGTAATAATACATCACTAAAGTGATACCGGGTGACAAGTAATAATTTACCACAACATTTGGTCTACGAGTAATACA